CGAGCAGAGGGTGACGAAGAAAATTTCCATTCACGCCCTCGCCTTATCATCTTGGACGGCCTCGACGAATGTGGCGATGGTGACACCCAGCGATACGTTCTTGACGTCCTTTCTCGTGCAGTTTCTTCGATTTCCTTCCCTATTATCTTCCTCATTACCAGCCGACCTGAACAGGTGATCCGTAACTCCTTCAACTATATATCGATGAGCGCCTCAACGACACGGATTCCGCTGGATGACGCCCACGAACCGGACGCGGATATAAGAATCGTCATAGAATCGAAATGCGAGGAAATCAGAGAAACTCATCCAGCAAGGGCATCCCTGCCATCTCCATGGCCATCATACGATGAGATCGAGCAGCTCGTGGCAAAATCATCTGGCCAGTTCATATACGCGTCGACAGTGCTCAAGTTTCTAGAATCCCCCAGACACCGACCTCAGGATCGATTAAATATCATTTTTGGCATATCAGCCGCTGAGAATGCCACACCTTTCGCCGAGTTGGACGCTCTCTACAGCCAGATATTTTCCACGGTTATCGATATCGAGAAATTGCGAGACGTCCTCAGCGTCATTCTGTTAACGGCGCACATACCCAAAACTCAAACTGCGATTGAAGAGTTCCTTTCCTACAGCTCTGGAACTGTAGACATCCTGTTTAGCGACCTACCTTCCGTTATTGCTCTGCCATCACTCGAGGAACCCGATAGCCAAATTCAAATCTTACATGCTTCTCTGACAGATTTTCTGTATGACCGATCGCGATCAGGAAACATGTTTATTGATGTCGAGGCTGCTCATGCTTTTATAGCGATTCGCCTCATGCATCGATTCAACCAACCCTTGCCCCAGAACCTAGAAGACGAGGATAACCCACGTAGGTGTCCTTGAACATCCGCCTGACCACTTATTCATCGCGATGTTTAGTCAAGGTTTCCCGGCTATATGACCGCCTTATGTTTCCCAAACACTGTTTCTCTGCAGGATCTAGCCCAGAACTCCTGGATGACCTGTACGTCTTCGACCTGGCGGACTATCTCGGTTGGTTCCGATCCTCGGATTCCATTCTTGTCCAGAGAAGTCTGTCGTTGTCGTTGAACTCTTCAAATAAGGCTAAAAGTGACCCTCGCATTCAACGTGATATCATGGAAGATACTGGGCTTCATGTTCCCGGATTGCAAGGCAGCATCCATGGTAGTAGTAAGGATGGGACTTTGTCCGTGTCTCTGATTGATAGAACTGGCGCTTACATCAGACTTGCCAACCTGGATCCCGAAATTCGCGTCACGACCAAGGATATTGCGATGAGCGAAACTTATATCACGTCGGTCAGGTCCTCGGCGGACATTCCCAAGTTCCTGCTTTGGCTCCGAGAAAAGGTGCGTAATCTTTTATCCACAAGGATGGGATTTTGAATGTTTTGGTGAGCTTAGAGGACCGCTAACCATACCAGCGACCTTTTCCATCATCACTTGAGTGCCATCGATACTTGGATCCGTAAACAACTAGAGATACCCGTCAATCAGAACTTCCGGCCTTCATTCCTAGAGTCTACCGACAGCCATCGGTTTAACTTGAAAAGACGAGCGCAGAAACTATTCGATATACTGAAAGATGAGGAGCAAGAAGCCCGACTTTCGTCGGATGCAGTTTTTCTCGCCCTCTTGGTCGATCAACTGGGGAACAATCTTATCGGATCCATAACTCTCGGGCTTCCTTGGGATCATACCAATGACCCAACATACTACACACTTTTCCATGATTTTTTAACGGATCCAACCCGTGCGGGGCCACACTTTTTCGACGACGACAAGTTCGCAAGACTCACAAAAAGTATTCTTGATTTCATTATCCAGGGGTAGGATTTCCCATTTTCCTGAACGCGTTGCTGTACTGAAACGAGACTCGAATTGCAGGGGTATACACGATGAGACCGTCATTTTCTACCCCGATCCTCTCAGAAGAGTCTTATCTGAGGATGCGTTGCGAGAGCTATCTACTGTGGATATGTCAAGTCCAGGACCGGGAGAAATATTCCAGGATTGCGGTGTACTCACCATCGTCCCTTACATGCTCGAACGAGCTGCTAAAACGCGGGAACTCGAAGCCATCCTTCTCAACCACCCGTTCAAGTCTGACGATGTGGATGACGTACTGCATTCCTGGAAACAGAAATGTGCTGAAGCTGCTGAGGCTTACCTCGAGGTGATTTTCGGTGTCGTATGAAGATCTGTTGATATTGGGCGCTAATGGTTTTTGCATAACGCAGAAATGCAAGGAACAACGAGACCTCGACGCGCAGGCGATAGCTGAAACATGCACTGTCCAACCAGAAATTCGGCATATCAAGTCACGCAATTATCCATCGTTTGGAATCGTGACCCTCCTTGTCGCCGTCATGGTATCATATATTGCTGGCTATTTCAGCGCCAACCGTAAGGATATTTTCGGTTGAACAAATTGTACGTATCCTTTGCAGTCTTCGCAATGACCATAGAACTTTGGAGCAGGTTTAGCTCTTATTGCCAATCATCGCCGCTGAATCCTCTCATCTTGCGTACTTTCGTGACATTCGTAGATAGGAAACGGTAAAGGGTTTAGACTACATATGGTTTCTTTGGCTGACTGGGGGGTCCATATATACGTAAGACCAGTGCCACACAGCCCCTTGAGTTCGAACCTGTTCATTCCTTCATCGTGCACAGTGACAGCCAACACGCAGATACACCTGCAATTTGGGAGAGGCTTCCACGCTGCCATATTTATCCAACCAATGGCACTTCTGAATATGGAGTGCCTCTGAAAACGCCCGATTGATGGCCCACAGCCATGTGGGAGAATATATTTGATCGCGCTTGGGCGCTAATTTACAGAACGGAACAACGAACGCCGGTCCGCATGCGTTAAACGATACACATTAAGCCTGAGTCCTGGCTACATAGAATACGAACGTGCTCTCAGACTTGCGCATTCCGAGTCGATAGGCCATGGGACCGGTAATTTCAATAACTCACTGACATTGGGCCCGTTCGATCTTCCTTTTCCGAATGCTTCGCACAAAGGCATTTCTCTCGGTTTTATTATGCAGGAATTCGTCACTCAACCACGTTTGATGACGAAACATGATAAGGGACGGTGCAGCAAGTCGATGATGTATGTGGCTGCGTGTGGTGGAGTCTTCGGAACCACGATAAGGGCGCCGTAAAAAAGAGAGCAACTTGAGTAATATTTCCTACATATCGAAGAATAAATCTATCTCGCCATGGACAAAATTGTGTTGGATATGTTCAGAAGTCTAGGCTCCCTAGCTACGATCGCCTGCCGCATGACTGGCTGTCGTCCAGTCTTTGTATAGTACTTTCTTTATCGCGTCGATGTATTTATATGGTATCTTGTTATGTCAGAGAAGATATTGGAGACACCTTTGATAGGTCGTGAAGTCTGATTAACTGCTTGACATTCCGAATCCAGACAATGGCCTCAGTGGTGTGGCCAAATATAATGAAAAATTCACAAATCATTACAGAGCATTTAGTTACGCATCATGCTGTGTTCAGAGCCTTGCAAGCGTCCTGCGGTAGTTACTGACAGTGGTTGCTGTGTAAATTGAGGTACTCGACTGTCTTTTATGGCTCGGCGATTGCCGAGATGCCGCAGAGGATATACCCTCTGACCTGACCTAGCGGGGAGCCTTTAAAACCACATCCACGACCGTTGGTTTCTTATCCTTGCCCCCCCTTTCCAATCCGTGCAATCTCTCTGTAATGGCTGATCAACTTGTAAGTAAGAGAATTATTGCTCAATGGCCATCACCTTACGTGTTACTGCCTTCATCGCGTTTAGTCTGAAGGTAAGGATCGCGTTCGCGATGTCGTCAAATTGAATCCAATACTCATTAATGAACCATCTTTTCTTCTCCTCGACGTACTTGTGGGGGCTTAGAGCAAATCTCTGGTATGTGGCATGGCGTCGCTTGTTTGCGATCTGGCCCTGCGCCTCGTGTAGGATTAGCGATTCTGACTTGTATCTCGGTAATCAGAGTTCAAGGAGGCGTTCTCACTATTCGATAAAGGTGTGTGCCCTACTAACGTTATATGGGGGAATCCCTGCTCATCCCTGCGTGTTTTACAGACGGCGATGGCACAATCACCACCAAGGAGCTGGGAACCGTCATGCGTTCCCTTGGCCAGAATCCCACTGAGGCAGAGCTCCAGGACATGATCAACGAGGTCGATGCTGACGGTAACGGAACGATCGACTTTCCCGAGTTCCTCACGATGATGGCGCGTAAAATGCGCGACACCGATAGCGAAGAGGAGATCAAGGAGGCCTTCAAGGTTTTCGATAAGGATGGGAATGGTTACATCAGCGCTGCAGAGCTCAGGCACGTCATGACCAACCTCGGTATGAATCCATTGACTCTTTTGCGCGATCTTTGCATTCTAATGAGAATGTGCCTGCCCATAGGGGAGAAGCTCTCCGATAACGAGGTCGACGAGATGATCCGTGAGGCGGACATCGATGGCGATGGCCAAATCAATTATGAAGGTGTGCCATTTCGCCTTGCCCATTTTTCCCATCATTTAACTGTCTTGCTTCCATAGAATTCGTGAAGGTTCGTATCAACAACCTCTATCCACTAATCAATAACTAAAGTCCTTTTAGATGATGTTATCGAAGTAAATCCCAAATTTGTAGTGTAGTACAATGTAGTATCGTCCAGCGCTCTGGAAACTCGTTCTGGACTCTCAGGAAGATTGTTGCTTCGAACTCACGGCATAAGAAATGATGGAATGGACTTCGAATTCGGCTATTTACTGTTCCCTCGTTTGTAACGAAAGAACGATATGTATATTTATTATTGCTCGTACTATCTGTCCTTGGGTTGAAAATAAAACAATCGATAAAGCGCCAAAAATAAACCGCTGGTTCTGGTTCTACCCCATTGGAATTTTCCTGCTGGTATGGCAAAGTCATCGAAAAGGGCAAAAAAGAACTGCCCGCTGGCTGGTTTGAACAACCGACCTCACCATTTCAGGTAATCCTCGAATTTTTTTACGAGTGGCGCGCTCTACCACTGAGCTAAGCGGGCGATGTTTCTCATTAATCCTTGAAATACATGAGAACATGGATCAATACTAACCTCAAGGCCATTCTGAACGTGCGTTGCGCGGCAAATAATCACCGCTACAAGTACTGTAAATATCCCCGACTTGCTCTCTCAAACTGGCGACGCATGCACACTTTTACGACTTGGAACAATGAATACTCTACTCTCCAAATTGTCGCATGGCCCGGCCGTCGTATTGTGACACCGGCATCGGCGTAGAACTTGAATTTCCCCTCGAGAATCGACCTGGTACGGTACATAGCCTTTCTCCAGACATCACCGGTTGGATCTCGCTACTCGGATGCCTATCCCAACGATACTTCATTTTTCGATTCTTGGGTGGTTGATAATCATCTTGACTGGTATCCAAACCTCTGCGGCACCTGCTGCGCTACGGGCACACACAGGTACCAGTGACAAATGGCTGCTGCGATCGCTAAACGGGTGGATTGGTTTTGTTGTTGCGCAGTTACGACTCAGGTAGTAATCAGAGGAGGATGTACAAGACACGACACGACACACCCAAATGGGGAAGTTGTGAGAGCGACACACCGCACTCCGGCAGCCTTACGGCCGCCGGAGTTTTAACCACCAAACCATTAACGCACAGAACGCGCTACCGCGCGTAAAGACATATTCACTAACCCTAACACTAACCTTAACGCGAACCTTAACACTAACCCTAACGCTAACCCCTAACGCTAACCCCTAACGCTAACACTAACACTAACCCTAACAGCAAGGATGCGGCAGCTACGTCGGAGTGTCAAAGTTCATGCAGCGGCATCATCCGGCATGCAAGTGTGTTGCTGTGCCTGAGTGTGTCGTGTGTCGACTCTTGTCTACCCCGTAATCAGAGCCAAGTCGGGTTTGTCGCTCTCTCCGACCTTCGGTGGCTGACTGGTTTTCCTAACTGTTGACGGCCGTATGTCAAGGTTCTTAGCGAGGCCGTAATGCCATTCGGCTTTCTCTGGGCTATGCATTGTGACCCATTCAGCCGTTTATCAACGTGGCACACAGGAGGGAGGTGAGTGTGGACAGCCTTATTTTTTTGCGAAAACGGCAAGCCTCCAGTTTCCTGCAATCACGCAAACCCTAAATATACATAAGCTGACAACATGGGTTGGTTCGGGGATATCCCTTTCCCCATCCATAGGACTGAGCACGTATAAAAGAGAAGGCGACTGGTTATTATTCTATCCACACTTGTGCCTTTAAGATTACAACAGGGATGCGCTTTTTCTCTCACCTCTCGATCATCCCATTGCTTAGTCTCCATGGCGTGCTAGCCTTTCCGAGCTACGGCACCCTCGCAGGTCTCTCCCGTTCCGAATTGGAGGCGATTCTCCCGACTCTCAAACCAGGTGTCCCCGAGTCCCCTCCGGGCCCTTTAAACGACACTAGCGCGAAGCTTGTCAATGATAAAAAACATCCGTGGAAACCTGCTGGAAAGAAAGACATACGAGGCCCATGTCCTGGGTTGAATACTCTTGCCTCTCACGGGGTGGGTTCACCAGTCGTCGCGCCAAACCAACTGGAATCAGTGTTGACGTTATTTCACTAGTGGCTTCCAAGGGATGGCGTTGCTACTCCCGCTCAAATTGTCAATGCCGTTCAAGAAGGTTCGTTCTTTGATGTCCATTTTATTGACCAGATGATGACGTATCCCTCTTTGTCGTCTCATTTTCACCCTATCTAGGTTTCAACATGGGGAATGACCTGGCCGTATTTGTCACATACGCTGCGCATCTGGTCGACGGCAATCTGATCACGAACCTCCTCAGCATTGGAGGCAAGACGGATAGAACTGGTCCGAACCCTCCTCCTCCGGCGATTGTGGGAGGGCTCAACACCCATGCGGTATTCGAAGGAGACGCTAGTACAACACGAGGTATGCTCATTTCAACTCTCTGTGGTGTAATAACCAACGGGTTACTCGGATGCTTATTATCACCACTTTTTACACTTCTTAATCAGCCGATTTCTTTTTCGGGGACAACCACAGTTTCAACGAGACACTTTTTGACGAGGTTCGTGATCTTAAATAATCATTTCTAGTTTGAATCCATATATCCATACTTACTATTTCTTCTTCCAGCTCACTGCTTTCAGTAACAAATTCGGTGGCGGTTTCTACAACCTCTCTGTGGCCGCCGAATTCCGGTTCCAGAGAATCCAAGATTCCATCGCCACCAACCCCCAATTCGACTTCATCTCTCCCCGATACTTCACCGCATACGCCGAGTCCATATTCCCCCTCACATTCTTCATCGATGGCCGCGATAAAAGCCTGCACCTCGACATGAACGTCGCACGCGGTTTCTTCCAAAACAGTCGTTTCCCAGATGGGTTCTTCAGGTCTAATACGTCCATTACTCTGGACGTCATTGGGGGCGGCATCGATTATATCTTTTCCAAGCACCCTGTGCCTCCAGGTTCCAACAATGGCACGGTCAATAGCTACACCCCCAATCCGAATTCCGCAGATTTCACACAATTCTGCAAGCTTTACACAGATTTCGTCAACATCACAATTCGAGGATTGTACCCCAATGCGAAGGGTGCCCTTTTGACTGCCCTCAACAAAAACCTGGAGTATTTCTACAGTCCCCTGGTTGGTTCGGGATGCCCTCAAGTGCCTCCGTTTGTGTGAGACGTGCAGGCCTTCGTGGTTCGTCCGGTTCTGGTAATTATTTCCATAAACGTCTGATAAACGATGTCGCGAAACAAACCCGCCGATGTACGCAAATATTGTAGCATACTTAGTAATAGTTCATTTCAATGCATCCGTTCCGGTTGTAATTTGGGCGAGCGCTCGTATTTGCTCCGAATTTCGAGGAATAATTTGACTTTTTATCTTCCCATGGCCGACCGACCCCGGAGACCGCTACGCAAAATGAACAATCCACCGAGCGGTACTCTCAACCGAGTCGCTGCTCCAGACAGCGCAGATTCGGCGGCTAAATTCCGCCGCCTGTCCGGTCACTGAGTCCAAGTACTGAACCCAACTGTATGGTGGCAACCATAACGCATAACGCAGCAGCTTTTTCGTCGCCTAATTCCTGTATAGTAACGCGTAACGCGGCCTCGGTCGCTACCAGAAAATATACCCCAAAAATGTGTTTTTTTAAAAAAAATCTCCCAGTGCGTAAATTTAGTTCTTTTTGATGCCATTATTCACCACAAGTTCAATATAAATTGGATAGGTACATAATAAGGAGAGGTATGCATGATAACAGTATTTTCGTTGCCTATTCATGCAACTGTAACGCATAACGCAACCTCCGTCGCTAATCCAAACTCAAGAGGGTGTGTAACGCACCTCCAGCTGGTTGCCACCATACAGTTGGGCTCAGTACGAGCGGGGACTTCTGCTGATCCGAGGCTGCCATTACCATCTCGATCGTATCCCCGAAGTATGGGGAGGAGACGCTCGGCGCTTGATCAGTAAATACTTTGACCCCAAGTAACTACCTATTCTATGAGTTGATCTGTGGTCCTATCCAAGCTTGCAGGGCTAATTATGCCCTTCAAAGTTTACATTTTAAGCGCTCATGTGAATTTTCAGGCTCCTTTGGAATTTACATAACTCCCCTGGAAATCCACTCTCTTGGCTTAGAGAAGCGAATTGTGATGGAACGATAGAGCCTTATCAAGGGCCTTATCTGAAGTTTTCTCAACCTTATCGCCGAGTACATATTACATGAAAGATGGATGGTACCGGTTCAGCTTACGGTAGCTATAGGTTGAGAACTTCAGGCAAAAAATAATTCCATCGTTTCCATAACATACATATCAAGCGCCTACATTGATCAGACGGTAACATATTGGGCGGCCATAGAGAGATTTGTTCAAGAGATAGACGTCGCCGATTTCCCGGAACGATCCAACACCAATCAACTCCTCCAGAGGCTTTGTGCGTAGTTCTATTTCTGGACGCATCCAAGACGCATCCAAGACGCATCGCCGCGGAATTCGAACTCAGTAATCTAGAAAGAATCTCACAGGAAAAGTTAAGTGTGGAAAGGGGGGGTCGACGGGCTTACTTTATATTAGAATTTGGAATGCAATTTCGATAGAGAATGTACTTCGTCCAGGTCCCTGATATTGTTTGTGCTCACGAGCAACGTGTGTCGGTCTAGGAATATAATTTATATTGACGGGAAGCTAAAAGGAAATAGTCCACAATATATTAGCGAAAGTTCAGTAAATAAGCCCTGAGGTCTGGTCCGGTGAGGACTTATTCTTCCTTTGCAGAAAAATGGCATGGGATTCCTTGAGCCTGGTTCCGGAGATTTGGCGATGAGCATTCGTCTGCATTCGTTCTCCGGCGACGGCAAAGCCACGTAAGTGAGAGAGATATCGATGATGGAGGACTTTCACGATGGAAGGCTTGGCTGGCATCAGGCCGGGCATGACGCGCGTGAGAGGCTCCTTTGCCCTGGGTGCGATGAAGCGTGGGTGTATAAGATCTCTGATTTTCTCTGGTTCCTCTGGATCAGGAAGAAAGCAGGGAAGGGTAATGGGCGAATGATTCAGGAATGATCATCGTCCTTGCCCTTGCGAGTGGACCACCACCATTGCTGCGACGCTTCCACTTTTAATTGACCTGCGTCAGCGGCCAGCGCGAAGCTCTTCGGCAATACCTAAAGAGATATCTTCGAACATTCGATGGAGAAGAGGTTCCAAAATCCATGGGCCGATCCTATCCCGCTCTCGAACGAGCTACTTCCGCCGATATTACTGGGCCTAGTGGTAAGAGCCAAACACGAGCCCAGAAATAGTAAACAAACTGACGAACGTAAAACGCGACGTTCGCTAGGTCGAATCTGTGCTATACGGTATGAGCAAAGGCAGATGACGGTAGATAAGCAGGGAATGTTGATTTTTTGTTTGACACAGGTATGCACGTTGTGCTCTTCGTGATGTGTGCCCAAGTTCTGCTTCGGCGACGACGGAGGGTTCAGATGATGATGTTTGCG